CCGAATTTGACAAATGACACATTTTTACCCAGAAACGTTAGAAATACAGAAATTGTTAAATAACTTCAACTTAAGCCATAAAAATTAGATTAACTAAATTTAAAAGTTAATTAATAAATATCGAAATCCAAATTGTATGAATATTATAAAATAAATGACGACAAAGGAACACTATAATACAAAATACATAGAATTTGATATGAAATTTACTACACAATATGTTATATATCATCTTTTAAGGAGAATTAGAGCTAGTCCTAATACTTTTTTCTGTACAGGTTTTCAGTAACTTATCAAGTAGACAAGTCTCACTCATTTTTAATTTCTCACAACAAATTATTTTAGAATTGACTGTAAATAAGTAGATTCTGTAGATTTTCTAGTATCTTTACTCTATTGGAGTAGCAATAAAGGATTGAGGTTCTCTGAGAAGTAAAACCACATATTACTCATCTATAGTCCGACTCCATTACCTCGAGAATTGCAATTCGAATTTGTTATATAAAAAAGGTGTTGTAACCGTTAATAAAAGTGGTTTGGTTGACATTTTGTTGTGAGAATTGTAATAAAATTAAAGTAGAAGGAAGATGTAATAGAGAGTGTACATTTTTCCAATTTTTTAATGTCTAATTCTTCGATCCATTTATTTTTATTACGATTCCAATTTGGTTAAGGTGGCAGAAAGCAGTCAACATCTCATTCCAAACTGAAACATATCATTCATAGTACATTTATAGTAGTACATATTGTAAATAGAATAATACTTTGTATATAGTCTAGGAAATAAAACCTTTTTTACTAATAAAAAGTGCTGAGTTTATTACTGAGGCCCTCTTGTAATGTACGAGAAGGGCCTTAATGTGCCAGATTGACAATTAGCACCGACAATCTGAAAATTCACTCAAAATACGAGGCAATTATACTTTCCTGCATTTGAGTGTCCTAAACTTGGTAAATCGGTATATTATAGAATAAAGGAAAGTGCTGTTGTCTGTTAAACATGTTGTTAAGTTTAAGTGTAATAAGCATAAGTCATCAAAAAACCCAGGATGTTGATTCCGAAGAGCACATTCGCATAAAACTTCAATTTTGAGAATATTGTTTGATGATATAAATTACAGATATTTTGGATTTTTTTTTGATGACATTAGGAATACCCTCATTATTTACGAATGAAACTTGTTACTATAGTCATTACATAATGCCTTAGAAAATCCAATAGATGGCGTCCATAGCATAGAAAATGTTGTATTTTTCCTTAACACCATTTCTCAATAGACAGCTGTCAAAAGTTTCAGAGATATTCATAGCGTCATTTCAATTTTACTGTCATTTGTTAAAATGCTACTTATAGACGGCACTTAAAGAAGAAGGAATTCATACTTCTGAGAAAGTTTAGAAAATTTGGAGAAACCTTTAAAAATAAGTTGTTTTTATACCTTTTCTATGGACCTATTGAATAACTCTCATAACATAATTTCTATGAATATCAACATCTGGGAATAATTTTACTACGTAATGCAAATAAACTGTGCAATACCGATGTTATTGTAGAGTAAATAAGTAGTAATTTAAACAAATCTAACATCTAAACACCCCATATATTTTATCCTGCGGATTGGCGCTTAATACCACACAACCCCCGATAACGTACTTCCTGATATGAAAGAACTTCCTTGTACAATGGTAGGATCCCAATCAAGCTGTGGCCAGCAAGCGCCCCTGATTTAATCCCAATTGAAACTAGAAGTATAACGTAAAACGCCAAGTTGAAAATCTTTCTACATCGAATTCCGTAATATTTAAGGTTCAGTCGTCTATAATATGACAAGTAGGGTAAGTAAACTTCTATAAATATTAAATTTTACTTTATTTGGCGATAAAATTGTTCGTGAAACTTCAATAATATACAAGAGAACAAATGAAACAGTTCACGAATCATAACTCATCTGCTATTTTGCTCAAAAACCACTAAAAAACAATTAAAATTAAAAAATAAATACCTGGATTATGTTTTACAGGCTAATATTTGTACCGATTGAAACGTAGATATTTATACATTAGTGTAAAATTACAATTGGCCACTACAGTCCACAATTACGAACTACCTAAAGCCTTTACCAGAACTTGGATTAAAATTTTTTAAAATAATCAACATAGAAATGTATCTCTGTATCATAATATATAATACGGTTATATTCTCAATATAAAGCATTTCTTAATCTTTAGAAAATTTGAATTATACAACCTAAGTATATTCACTTATGCAGCAATAGTTAAAATGTCTTTTAAGCCTTTCTCTATACATGTTTTAAAACAAATCCTTAATTATAGTTTCGTAATAGGTTCTTAAGTATGTATCTACCAAGTGTTTCTATATTTTAAACTTGATATGAGATTACTTGTAAAGGTGGTGTAGTTTTTTCAACCTCAACGTGAATTACCTACATTTAGGTGTGAGTAGAATGTCCAATACAAATATGTTAGTGCTGTTTTTAGGCAAATTGAATCTATACATTTGCATGCTAATAAAAAATTAGCAAAGCTTGTTTAATTGAACGGGCGATTGGAAAAATGATGACATTCCACAGATGTAATCATACAAAAGTATGTACGTTTCATTGGGAAAAATGCAATATTTTGTTTCTTTTTTACTGCCCAATATAATTTTCTCACTCATCGTTCATATAATGTTATTACACTTGAGGTTACCCTGTACATCACTATAAAATATTTTTTATTTAATGCAATTTCAAAGCGCAATTCTTGCAGAGTATACGTTTTTTTATTAGATTTGTCTTTTGCATAGGGTTGGTTTTCGATTGTCGAGTTTTATATTATTGTTGTAAGTCACATACCCCAGACTGCGACCATGTGCGTTAGAGAAGTTCAGAATTCTCTCCGCAACCCCGTACTCCGATAAAAAGATGACCTTCGAGAATTTCATTTTTTATATAATCAATACCCTAACCATTAATCCCAATTAAAATAAAACAAGTATGAAAAAAATCACAGAAGTTAAAAAACAAGTATTTAACACTTTATAAAAGTGTCGTCAAGCATTTAAATTCTGGCAGAACGTTTTCAATCTGAACAGATCATCCTCAGTGCCTTGTGTATTTGTTGCATAACAGTAAAGTTGTCTATAAGACCTCCATGTATGGATTTACAGTATTCCAAATTTTACATTTAATAATGTTTTGACTCCAGGTCGATGTACATCGGAAAACTGGAAAACTCCTGCATCGCCAAAAATGAAAAAAGCAAGGATGTCGAAATCAAAATGTAAAGCCATGCTAATATATTTTTTTCGAAATTAACGGCATCGTGATGACTGAATGGATTCCAGAGGGTCAAACTGTAAATCAAACTTACTGTTTAAAAGTTTTGGCAACGCTGCGAGAGCGAGTTCGTAAGAAACGGCCGGAGTTGTGGAAAAACAAGCCGTGTGAAGCGTTATTAGTCGCTAGAGGCATTCCAGTGCTCAAACACCCGCCGTACTCACCTGATTTAGCACCCTGTGACTTTTTCCTGTTTCCGAAGATCAAGTCTGCCTTAAAAGGAATCCGGTTCGACTCGGTGGAAGAGGTGAAGCAAAAAACGGCAGAGCTCCTAAAAGCTCTGACAAAAGAAGACTTCCAGCATTTGCTTTGACCAATGGAAAAAACGAATGGAACGGTGTGTGGCGAGAGAAGGATAGAAGGGGAGAAGTATATTGAAGCAGAGAATTCCATTGTAGAATAATTTTTAAAATAAAACTCTTTTTCATAAGCAGTCTCGTTATTTAACAGCCAGACTTCGTATGTCCTCGATATCAACAGCATTCGAATAATTTTCAGAATAGCAATCGAATTTAAAAAGATACAAACACATATCTGCTGATGACATTGTTATAATAAGAAGTACCTAAAACGAACTATAGTAAACAATGGAAATCTATCCCTATACCCCTAAATCAGGCACTTTTTCGATACACTTGTTCTCTGCTAATAGTTAAACTCTACTGAACCACATATATCAAATTTGTCCCTCGTTTACAGCGTAATTCTACCGTTCTTTCAACATATCTTTATCTCTTCTTTATCCCTCGACATCAGGAAATTATAGATATAAGGAGCACAACGTGGGGCCTTCATTTAAAATTTTCTATTTTATCATTGTGCTTTTATCAAGTTTGGAGATTAGTAATGAAATAGTAGTGGAGTTTTCGCTTTAATCATGGGGAATCAATAACGATGAACAAATTTATTAAAAATAATATTATTGGCAGTACTTCAAAATAGAAAGTATAGGTGGTATCAAAGTCTTTATATTATAGATTTTCAACTCTTAAACAAGCAATTGGTACATGGTGGACATGTCTGAGTATATCAGCACTGTAGTGGATCGGCTCGTGAATCTGTAGTGGAGTGCTTATAACGAAAAGATATTGGTGCGGTAAAAATGATTTTTAATTATTGAATATCACATTTCATGTTCTGTACAGCTCTGTTTGATTTAACGTTCCTCGTCAAGATTTATTTACAAATAGGAATTGTTTGGTGTGAGTATGTAGGATAACATTTAAATGTGTCAAAATAATGGTGAACTAAGCTTCTATGGAATGTAATGATTTTTCCTTTCACCCATTCAATTTTTTATCTCGCTGTGTTTCCGCCGAAGAAAACAACGTTTCAAAATTGAGTTACTTCAAAAACTACACTAAAGCCGACATAAATTATTCTTATAGTTAAATTTAGTACATTTATTTATCAACGTAACGCACTTACATCATTTATTTATGTTCACCTCAAGTAGCCTTACGATAAAATGTTTATCCCCCTAATAAGACACCAATAATAAAAAGATCGACACGAATGTTAGCTTTCTGAAGATTATCTAACGTTTTTTTTAATAATATTTTTAACACTACTAGACGCCTGGCTTAGTGTATTGCTGATTTAGTTTATCTATGCATTACAACAAACATCAAAACAGCACTTGATGGCGGTGTCACCCATTTAAGCTATACTGGACGCCGCCGCCGCTTGGATGGGAGTCGACGCAGTGTCGGCCATTTGCTGATTGGCAGTAGATGAAGACGCGTGATCTGGCGCATTATTTTCCGACTCTTGTCCACTCTGGCCGGTCTGAGCTCCTCGAGGCAAAAGCGTACTGTTCAGTGATGGTTGGATATTTAATTCTAAAAAGAAAAATTATTTAGTATGAGCATCCCAACCTACCTATGTTAACAGATCACTTATTCTGCAATAACAGATTTTCTAAACACTGGGTGTATCTTTATGAGACAAAATAAGAAAACGACTGGATAAGAAACACAACATATTGAAAGATAATATATGGAGTACAAAACTTCAACTACAATCAAATGAAGAGTTATGTAGGAAAAACAAACTGAAGAAGACGACAGAAGGAGGTAAGATAGACTGTGACATTAAATTGATTTATTGATCGCTACCTTGAAAGAGCTATGATCCAAGTCTATGCTTCCACAGCTGATAAGACCAAATATGAGATCGAAAACTTTTATTCAGAATTTCACAATACAATCAAGTTAACAAAATCTAGAGATATTACTATATGTATAGTAATATACTTTACAGTCTTTTAGGAGACTTTAATGCAAAAATTGGTGTATTTACAGTTGAAAATATAGTTGGAAAGTTCGGATTAGGAACATGAAAAACTAATATCAATACTTATGAACAAGCGCATTGACAGTAAAATCATAAATATAGTGCAAACATTATGTTGAAACCAAAGTGCCATATTTCAAATTGATGGTCAACACTCAGAAGAAATGAAGATCTGTAGAGAAGTTAGAAAGGATGTGTTTTATCGCCACTTTTTTTAACTTATATTTTGAAGAAATTTTCCAAAACACGCTCAATAATATCAAAACGGGACTTACCATTAACAGAAAATTAATTAACAACTTACGATATGCAGACGACACTGTGATCATAGCAACGAGTATAGAAGGGAAAAGATTCAAGGAAGAAGATCTGTTGGCCGAAGGCAGAACTCATGGTTGAACAATCTACGTGATTGGTATCAATGCAGATCGATTGATTTGTTTAGAGCCGCAAGTTCAAAAATAAAAATAGCCATTATGATTGCTAACCTCCGTAGGGAGACGGTACTCTAAGAAGAAGACCTTGAAAGAAGACCGTCATATATCAAAACGTGACAATTTTCAGAAATGGCTATTTAACAAATTTATAGGCTAATAGTTTGGCTTTATCGTGTACTAGCCTGTAAAAAGCTATACTCAATCCCATACTATTGTAATCCTATTTTAGGTTATAAAATTGTTGAGCTGTGACACTCTTAAAAAAATGTGATCGGTGTTTGGAAATAATTCACTTCTTTATTAAAATTGTTTTATGTGTTTTTTACAAATGAAGACTTGTCTCATAAAAATAATAATAATAAAGATGCTATAGTGTACAAACTAAGAAATAGTGTCATTCTGCAGTAAATTATGGTTAAAAAATACTTGTCTTCATTTGAAAAGTCATTCTTTAACTTTCCATAATACACTCTCTTCATTTTTTTGACAGAAGTCAACTTTAGCATGAGTATATCCCTAAATCCTTGAGCCATTTTTATAATCTGAAATAATTCCAACAGGATTTATTTATTTTTCTTAAGAACGTCATAAATCGAAATAATTTTTAGGTAGTTGGCTTCAAAATTCAAAATGTTCTAATAATTTTCTAAAACTATAACTCAAAAGAATACCAACTCATTCTAAACATAACCTCAACTTTTTTATAAGACAGACATAACTCAAAATAATGCATTATTCTTCACAGCAAGCATTGCATTATCTTATTGTGTTTTTGAGAGAGGATGGCATATCTCAAAATGACACAACGTCGAACCAACTTTTCTTATTTATCTTATTAACAATACTTACACTTCTACCATCTGACGGCCATAGACATAAACTAACTTTATGACGTTATCACACAAAAAATATAGAATATTTAAAATCTGTTTTAAAGATATGACGTTCTTCTTCCAAGGTAGTTAAATATATATATATATATATATATATATATATATATATATATATATAGTTATTTATATATATTATATATATATATATATATATATATATATATATATATATAAATAACTTTATAACAACCCTGACATTGTCATCCTTCCAGCCGACAAAGGTAATGCCATCGTGATTCTAAACTCATTTAATTATTTCGACAAAATGTTCGAACTTCTTGATTCCACCTCCATCTCCATCTAGAAAAAACGACCTAATCTATCAAAAATAAGCCACTCTACCTCCAGACATAAAAAATCTCTTATACGCAGAGAAAAATGATCCTTCGATTCAAAAAATATACGGCCCAATATCCCCTAAGACACATCATCGGTGCATACAATTGCCCCACTCAGAAATTATGTGAATATCTGAGAAATTGCAGAAGTACAGAACAGTAGAAGGTTGTTGATTCGAAAGTGGTTGTGGATTATGTTGACAGAAATGTGTTGGGTTTTTGGTGAGAAAGACGATCGAAAGTGTCCCATAATAATGAATGGATATTGTAAGAGTGGATGTCATTGTAGATTTTGAAAAGTTGGGAATTTATTGTGTCTAAGTTGCCTCAGGTGGAATAACTTCTCAAATAAGCAAAAAAGCTGTTGCTTTAAGAATTTTGGAAAGGGATAAAGATTTAGTGTGATGTTTAATTTGAAGAGATTTTGGATGGTCACGACATGATTTAAGGAAAGCAAAGTTAGAGAGAAGACGATATTTGCGTGTAAGGAGACTAGCAAAAGATTTAATAAGAATGAAAAATTTCTACCCGTAGAGGCGAATGAAATGTTCGGAAACATTTCGGTGGTCAGTTAAATAAAAATTACTAAGTTCTTGGAAGAACCGCATTGAGAATTTAGAACTCGACGTTTCGGCACCAATTTTGGAGCCATTATCAAAGATAATGTCTCCGTTCGAGTTCGGGGTCTCGATCTGCCTACTCACTCACTCGTCCCCTCACTAGGCACAATCCAAACTGGTTACCGCGAAAATCACATCAATAGGTGCATCCACAGGCATCAATTTCCCACTCAACCTCAATCCAAAGACTCAGAGCCTTATTATACGAAAGCTTTTCTTTCTTACAGAAAGGTGTCACTGACTAAATCGACAAAATCCTCAAATCAAGAGGAATATCTACTCCCAAAAAAAATAGGGCAAACCAATCGTAGAATCCAAAATAGGATTTATGAACATTCCATTTCTGTCCGCAATTCCGATTCAACTTCAGCTCTAGGTCAACAACATCTACATAACAGGTCACAAAAGTGATTTTCAAAACTCCAGAACCGTAGCCCCCATCCGTTTCTATAAACCAATAATAATGCGAGTACCCATAGAGATTGAAAGGTGACCGAACTGTCTAAATAAAAAAAAAATGACGGCCTTTTATATGGAGACCTCTCCTAAAGAAAACATAGTCCGCTCTACCTACCAGTTCAATTCCCGCCGCCAAAGTTTACCCAGTTTAACCCGGAAGCATAATTTTTGTAATTATTAATCTTAACTTTAAGTTTAATATATATGAGGGAGAGAGAGAGAGAAGTGAGAGAGAGATGATAGTTACGAACTTGTTATTCTCTATAAAATGGTTTTTGTTGTCGGTAATGTCTTACGTACAACTTACCGTGTTCAGTAAAATTAAACAAAGGGGGTAGCTCATTTCCATTAGGCAGGCGAGTATTTGGTTCTCTCAATTCGTTGAAGAAATTATGCGCACAAGCCTGAAGAGGAGTAATTCGTGATGAGGGTGTGTATTCTAGCAGCTTTGATACCAGCTCAATGGCTTCTGGTGGAGTTCGTGCTCTAAATACCTAAAAATGTAATATGGTTAAAAATAATTAAACAATGTCTACGGGTATACAACATTTTTGTGGGTTTCTACAAAACGAAGTAAAACAATCAATTACAAAGTCTAAGAAGAGAATCAGTGCATGATGCGCGTGAATAGCGCCTTATATGCTTATTTCTCAAAATTAATAATATAACAATTAATAAATTTAATTGGTCGTTTAATTTGGAAGAGTTTTTAATACAAATATTTAGAATTTCGATTGCTGCAGCAAGGACATGCCTCATTACTATAAATGCGTTTAGAGATGGTATTTGCTATAGTTGGCAGCTTTACTGGTGATGTCTAGGTTATGTCATCCCAAGTAAATACGGCTTCAGTAACTGTGTTTGGTTAAGGACCATGTCTCTCTCTCAGAATCTGTCGTCGAGACACTATCTGATGAATCGTAATAAAGGCGAAACATATCGTAGTGTGAACGAACAGCAGATCTTTAGAGAAAGACAATATCCACCCTCCATAAAACGAATTAAAGAAATTTATTTCTGGAAGATAAGTATATGTATTTCCTAACACGTTCTTTGACTTTTACATGTTGTATATTTATATATTTTGTAAGATAAGTAAGCTTATCAATAAAGAGTTTTCTTGTTCAAAAACGTTCGAGAACGTCGTGGTCGATTGGGCCTTGAAGATTTTTGAACTGATAAACTAAAGCGCATAAAAATTTGCCAATCAAGCGCAAAGCTGCTTTAAATAATTTGATATTTTAAATGTCTATGTAATAGAATACTCTTTTTCCTAACTATAATACATTTTTAATTAACATCAGCTACTACGGGTATTTAAATTAAATACAAATTTTATTGTTTGTTTCAGTTTAAGCAAAATTTCGGACCATCATCATCATCACCCAGTCCTTTGCGTCCACTGCTGGACATAGGCCTCCCTCATTTTTGTTCATTGTGTTCTGTCTTGAGCACTTTTCATCCAATTTCGCGGGCCAATGCATTTTAAATGAATTCATTTTTTTCGAATCCTGAGAAAACTAATTTAAACGCAGAATTAAATATTGCATTATTACCGAGGGTCGAAAGTCCCTGAAAACTTCTATAATGTTTATTTTAGTAAGTTACAGAGGTGAAAGAGAAGAGAAAATTAAGTGTGATTTTTAATTTCAAATATCTCGTTCAAAAGAAACTTTTTGTTTATTCTAACGGACTTTAGGCCCTTGGTAATAATGTAATCTTTCATTCTGCGTTTAAATTTTTCAAAAATATTTATTAGTTTTCTCAGGATTCGAAATAAATGAATGCATTTAAACATGGCCGAAATTGCGCTACGCTCTTAACTGGCAAATTACCAATCATTTGTGGGGTTCACTGTAGTGAGTAAACAGTTTAGTATCTAGGGGCTCAGGAGAACGAGACCTCGGAAGCTCTGAAGAAGACATGAAAGAGGATGTCGAAAGTGATTGTTCTATGGGAGTCATAGATAGGTTGGAGATAGCTGAGCCTCGAGACACATTGTAAGCTATTGGCTTCTATTTTGACTTGATTAGAGAATTTTATGATCCTGAAGTTGGTCTGAAGGAGATAAACAATTATGGATTTTGTTCAGATATATTTCGAACAAAATTTAAAAGAAGTGTTTGTTGTGAATTTAGTGTGAATTTTTACTTCAGGTATATTCAAAATTTGTGTTTTTCATATGCCTATAATTAGAGAATTTCTCAAAGAACTCTGAGAAGTTAATTTATAAATATTTTTATGGTTTATTTTTTTTTGTTTTTTAATCGTAAAATAGACTGAAATTTCAGTAAGTAAATTTAGGTTATCATAACAATATATAAAAAGCCACCTTTATCTAAGTATGTCCGTCTACAGCGTCTTTTAGTGGCAGGTCATGTATTTAACATGTACAAAAAACAGTCTTAAAAAAACCATTGAACGCAAAAAATACAGGGTAAGAGACCTATTGGGAGACCGAGAAAGCAACGGGAGGATGATGTGAATGAGATGGTATGAAATCTCCTTAGTAGTCGATCGTGGAGGAGAATGACTATGGACAGTAATGAATGGAGAGATTTGCTGAGAGAGGCCAGGTCTCAAATTGGGCTGTAGTGCCATAGGAAGGAAGATGGAATCTCCAGGAATACTTTTAATTTCTAATTGACAGATTCTTTTTTTCCGTTAGATGCCTTTTGTTTTTCCTCTAATTGCACCGTCTTCTTTCGAAGGTTCGCGATCCAAATGGCACTTGTAGCTTTGGAAACTGTTGCACGAAAGATTTCTGTGGATGAGCGATCGAACCATCTCCTCAGGTCTTTCAACCACGAGTTCTGGCGTCTTCCAACTGATCTTTTGCCCTGAGCTTTACCTTCCAATATGATTTGGAGTATTTCATATCTTTCATCTCTCAACACATGACCCAAGTATTGTATTTTCCCTGTCTTTTACTTTACTTAACTTTTCTTTTTAGCTGGGTATTTTTTTACTTCGTATCAATATAGAGACTTCGAGAGAATTAAATTTATCACTTAGAAAGTCCTCCTCAACAATTTTTGAAACTAAGTGAGTTGGGGTGATTTTTTAAGGGTGAAAGTATTCCAGATGTTATTATTTCGACGAGCTATCCCAGATTAAAAAAAAATCATCGAAATCGGTTCATTTTTCACCGAAATATTGCAAATTTTTCCGAGCGTCGCCAGATTCGTTTCTTAATTGTTATTAATAAAGCCTCTGTGATTTAAAAAATATGCTAACTCGGTTCCTATTGGTCGTAGAAAACTCTTTCTTCTTTTAAATCTTTGTCTCGAATCTAGCTACAATAATCTGCAAATTAGAAATTTGTATGGTACATAGGTTTGCGCTGTAGCTCGAAATGTTTATAGCTGCAATTTTACAACTTCATAAATAATTGTTTTTAACAGGTTAAACATTTTTTTCATTTATTTTCCAGTGGAATATGAAAATTTACGGCTTTAGGAAGAGAATGAACACATTAATTTAGCCCTCTCACCATTTTTTTTGGCAATCCTATGAGCATTCAAAGTTGAAGGTCGTGGATAAACTAATCAACGTATCTCAGCAACAAATCAAGTGATCTAGGGGTACTACGGCTCATTCGATTCGTAATTTTGTAGGCTTAAATGTTATATATTTGAAATAAAACAAAGCAATTGTACAATAAATATGACGTTTTTTTAATTTTGACCTTCATTCTTCATTTTTGCAATAACAAATAAATTAAATTGAACGTATATTGGCTCAAATTGAAGTTCTTGTAGAGTACTTTCACAATCTATAGAGAAATTACCCATTACAACATTTACTTTGGCCAAAAAATGAAAAAATCTCCAGAAATACGTGTTTTGCACCTATAAACGCTCATAAATAAACAATAACGAAAATTTTTTTGTTGAATGAACTAGGGGATTGCTCCTAAGGTTGCCCTTTATAACCCTTTTTCCCCCACAGCCTGGGCTAGTGAGCGAATTAAAGTATTGTAGATAACAAAAACCTTAGACCATAAAAACTGATAGACGCGCCGTAATGCTATTCTCTCGTCTCGAGGAGTGAAGCCAACATAAAACGATTCACACAGCTGTGGGTGACGTCAGTTTGAGGCAGAAACGGTAGAGATTAGTAGTGTTTATACGCGTTGTAAACGTTTTAAAGTGTTTAAATTTAAAATTTTTCCAATACATTAATATTATAATTATGGTGGCATCTTGCAGTGCATTTAATTGTACGCAGCGACAAAAAAAGGGACAGATATATCATTTCACGGGTAAGAAAATTCACAAATTAAACTTGAAAAACATACCAGAAATTTAGCACCTATTATTTTACTTTTTATTCCCTTATATATAATTTTCATTTTATAATTAGATTGAAAAGAAGCAGTGAATGTATTAAAAACAAAAAAGTAGTTGAACTTAGAAATAAAGGAAAATCATGTATTTGTGCTTTGATGGTCGATGAAATGTCTATACACCAGAAAATAGAATGGATGGTGAAAAGTTTTTAGGGTAAGTGTAGCTTTACGTATGTGTGTAGCTTTAAGTGTAAATCATTAATTTTAGGTATGTTGACATAGGAAGTAAACCTCAAAGCTGAGGTTTACTTCCTATGCTAAAATGCACAAAGCTGATGTCACAATTACCAGTCTAACATTTGATGGTGCAGCATCAAATATTAGCATGGTTAAACAACTTGGAGTTAATTTATCGATTAATTCCAATAAAGTATATTTTCTACATCCAGCAACAAATCAACCAATATATGTAATGTTTGACCCTCCACATATGTTGAAACTTATTCGCAATACTTTAGGTTATTACCAATTTTTTTGACGGGAATAATAAAGCGATTAAATGGGAATATTTGCAAAAATTAGTAGACATTCAAGAGAAGGAAGGCCTTCATCTTGCAACTAGGATAACGCGAAGGCATTTAAATTGGTATAAGGAAAAAATGAAAGTGAAATTAGCTGCCCAAACGTTCAGCCAAAAAGTTGCTAAGGCAATACATTATTTGAGAAATAAAAGTCAAAAGAATTTGTACATAGCGAAGCTACTCAAAATTTCATCGAACGTATTAATGATATTTTTGATATTTTAAATAGACGAAATTTATTGGCAAAACACCTAAAATCTAGTTTACAGCATCATAATAAATAAGCGATTTTCAAAAAACTGAAGAATCTATAAAATATCTTAGTTCACTTAAGTGTTCCAAAAATGGTGAACCCCTATACCCCTATCTCCATTCATAAGACACAAAAATTATAGCATGTCAAAAGATTTTTTAATTCAACCTTCTAAAGACGTCATTCATATTTGCAAAATTGCTGAAAGCGAAATTAAATTTATGTACAATTCAAAAAAATTAAACGATTCCAAAATAATGACAAAATTGATCTTAAATGTCATGAGTAACGTGCATGGTTCTGTGTTTAACGCATACAAAGAACATGTTTGATCATGAATTTGAAACAAACCATTTGTTTAATCTAATAAGATAATTTGTTTCCATTATTGCAACATTAGATTGTACCACGAAGGTGAAAAACTAAATAATGTAATAAGAGTTAGAAGTAAGTTAACAAAAGCTATTTTGTTTGTGGTAAATAAATTAATAGATTTCCTACATATTTTTTTTACCTATCCTGAAACTTCCACCCAAAAGGAAATTATTCTCCTTTAAATTTATTTCTGAATATCAAACAAGAAGTGATATACCAACGTTATATATAATAATATATGTAGGTATGTACTTTCAAATAAAACATTTATTTTTACAATTTAAGGCAAAAATATTTATTAATTACTTTGCTAAATAATTTATCTTCCATATTTTTTACAAAATATTGAAGTTATATTAAAATTAATCTAAAATTGGGTAATTATACTAGTGCTTTGCTAAGAATCCAAGCGGGCTCTTGCCTCATTGTGACGTCACTTTCGCGGAAGGTCTTTGCTTCAACGGTTCGGTACAAGGCGTGTCTATCAGTTTTTATGGTCTAAGACAAAAACTGTACCCTAATACCCTAATTAATACTCGTAATTGCAAAATATTAAATTCGAAAAGATTTTGTTTCGGTATTTAAAAGTATTATACTGGTAAACCTTGTCTATAGTATAGTTCAAAATTGCAGGCACTAAATTACTAATCAAGACCCTAATGTCTCAAAGGTGTGAAGATTTTAAGTTAGAAACCGTCGACAAGCCTTTATTGAACGATTGTCATCGGGTTTGAAAACACCAGCGGGCAAAGGACGTAGACTCATTCTAACACACAGGCATTGATTCGGATTTTTTGGTAAGCGGTTTGTTATTCACCTAATCCAAGAAAAACCAATGACTGTGATGAAGAAAATGAACGCCCAAAAAAGGTTTTTAAATATTTTATTAAACATTAAATCAAATTATGTTGAAATGTTGAAATCAAACTGATTGTTATGATTTATTAGATACTTTAACAAGTTGATAAATTATTTGTAATCACAACCTGGCAACACTGTTGTTAAAACTTAATTATTTTTTTCTCAGAATTTAGCGCCTAGAATTTTTGTATTATATTATAGTGTTATCTGGTGGCTTCATTTCGGACTTAACCTAAAAACCCTATTCAGCCACTACCCTATGTATGGCAGTAATATATTACCTGCCAAGTAAAAAAATTAATATTTTTATAAAACTGAACTTTACATTATACTTTTATATATTTATACTTTTTGAAATAACGAATAAATAAAAAAACATATAGTGACATCAAATATACAAGTGGATGGAAGACTAGATAGTTCTGTTATTACATAGACATTTAAATTAATTCATGCTTTTTGAAAATTCTTTAGTTTATTAGTTTAAAAGTCTTCTACTTCTGCTGAAGATGACAAAATGAGAAGGAATCGACGAAGATGAACCGGTTATGATGGATGTTCGTGACCTAATGGCAACACATAACATTTTCGATTATGGAAAGAAAGCACAATGCAATAGGAGATTAGTAAAAGTGAAGGCCGTCCACACTTGGACTTACACGTATTTTTTGTTGATTTGTGCTGTCAAACGGCATCGACATTCTCGTCAACATAAACTGCAAAAAACAGATGTAAGTCGTTAATGATAGGTCCCTTTGGTCGCTGGTTTCTTAAAAGTCGTATATGAACCCAGTATTTTGAAGGGGCCAATGTCACATTCATTATTTTAGTAACCAAATTAATAAAAACACACCTGATACACTTTATTATTATTATTATTTTCGGAAGCCATTTGTTGGTATAACTGGTAGTACTCCAGCCAATTGGCCTAATGTACCGAGTGGTCCAATAAGCCGATCTCTCTTCTATATATCAGAAACTATTCATGTTAAAAATTTAGGAGAAAAAATTCCTTAGTAAAGTGGCCAAGAGAAATCGCTGGAAATAGCTTTCAAGTTTCTGGATTAACCGCTAGGGGGCGTAACCTGTGAAGAAAAATTTGAAAACCGGTTTTTTGTGAAATATGCCCAATTTTACCAAGTGTTAAATAAGTAAACTAAAAAGAGGCCTAAATTCCGCACAAAGTTGTTCAAGAACTTTTTTTTATTTTTTCAAATAAAGGGTGGGGGAAAGTGTTTGTGGATAAATACCTATAACTTTGGTTTGGATCAACCGATTTTAACTAAATTAGTGTCGTTAGAAAAGAGTGTAGATGATTTAATTTACATTTACTATAAAACAATTGCATTTCGTTTTAATTGTCATAGGTAGAGGGTACCTTCGAATAGAAAAAACTTATACAGTCGAGAGATCGGCTTATTGGAACACACGGTACATATTCAATTCGTGTACACCTTCTCCATCAGGTTTTATTATTAACGACTACTTACACAGTCGGGACCGACGGCTTTATATGCCCTCCGAAGCACAGTGGCGGATTAGTTAAATTAGAAATTGAAAAATTTCTGGTGCGTGTGCTTCCACCTTCCAGTTTGGTAAGCTAGTATCATAGCTTCTCAACTACGAACGCCACTACACTTCATGATACTCGTTTTATTAAACGATTTGTTCCATATTCCTTCGCAATTTCCAATGATCTTAGTAAATGTTAGTTACTACAGTATACATGAGGCGGTGAGTCTTTATACTGCACAGAATAAATATCGGAATAATTAAAACAAATGTTTGATTTTTATTCACCTAGTGTCAGGGTTCAGATCACTTCACTAATTTTTTCACTGCATTAGTGTAATCAACACAGTGAAGAGTATAGTGAAGTGATCTGGAGGTTCAGGAGACTGATACCTCGGAAGCCTTGATGAAGACTTCAGAGCGGAAGTCGAAAGCTCGGTATAGTGAGTTTAATATTATTTTTTATAAAAATAATAATCTTAGCTTTAAGGTTAATTGTTATAACCGCGTGAATCTTTCCGAACATATATATTCAACACTTTAATTAATAAAAGGAAACAAATAATCATGTAATTACCTGTTGCCAAGGATGTGACTTGATTTGAGGAAACTTGAATTCCGTGTAGTTGGGATTCATCTCTTTAATCTGCTCTTTGGTAGGTGTGCCCAACACCTTAATAATTTCTACCAATTGGTCTACGCCCGAATCTCCGGGGAATATCGGCTGACCAAGAAGGAGTTCGGCCAAAACGCATCCAGCGCTCCATACGTCGATTTTTGTCGTGTAATCGATCGCTCCGAATATTAACTCTGGTGCTCTGTAATATCGACTGCAAATGTATGAAACGTTCGGTTCGCCTTTGACGAGATGTTTTGCACTTCCAAAATCACATAATTTTAAAACTCCAGTCTCTGGATCTAACAACAAGTTTTGCGGTTTTATGTCCCTATGGCATATCCCTAAAGAGTGAATGTATGCTAGTGACCGAAACAACTGGTACATGTATAACTGAAACAAAAAATTTTATTAAAACATTTTTATATTTTAAGATACTTAGTAAAACATTTATATTTTTTCGCACTGTCATTTTCCTTTAAGTTTAGTAACAACGAATTATATAGAGCCATTGTAATGTGCGTAATTTCCTAGCGTGTGCCATATGCTGTAACGTGTCAAAAAAGCCAACGTTACATTTCATCTAATTTTCGTAGAATGTCGTAACGCAGTGTAATAAAATTAGAATCTAAAATTTTTATGTATTATAAAATATATTGTTACATAAAATTATCGATTTACTCGACAATCGGAAGGTACATCATTACATGTCAGAAGTTTCGAACCAAAATTAATATTCTATTCATTAACAAGGAATAGATTACGAACATCTTAATCTAGACTCATTAAATCATGTTATGATTAAAGAAATTGATATTTTATGTGCTTTAAAGTGTTTGGCCTAAAGGTATAAATCTTGTCTCGAGTAAATATTGTTTTAAGAGATCTATATATATATATATATATATATATATATATATATATATATATATATATATATATATATATATATATATATAAGGTTCTTGAAATCCTAAGTGGAGCATAGAGCTTCAGTGAAAACGCGCCATCGGGTTCTATTTTGCGCTAAGGCCTTCACCTCATTCCAAGACTTTCCTTGTTTTCTTATCTCGTCCATGATGGATCTTCTCCAAGTTTGTACTGGGCGACCTTTTTTTCGTTTTCCTTGGGGATTCCACTCTAGGGCAGTCTTTGCAATACTGGAGTTATTTTTTCGGAGTGTGTGACCGATCCAACCCCACTTTCTGGACTTTATTTCATTTACTACCCTTTTTTGTTTGGTCAGGTGTAGTAAATCTTCGTTTCTGATGATGTTAGGCTAGAAGATACGAACAATTCTTCGTAGACATTTATTAACAAAGACCTGCAGTTTGTCTGTAAGGGTTTTTGTCGCTTTCCAGGTTTCACATCCGTAAAGTAGTACAGACATGACATTTGACTGGAATATGCGGATCTTTGTCCTCGTAGTGTAGTCTCCAGACCTCCAAACAGGGTTGAGCATGCTGAAAGCTTGTTGCGCTTTTCGTATCCTCATACGAATATCGTCTTCTGTACCTCCGCTTTCTGTTATGACACTTCCAAGATACGTAAAGTTTTCCACATTTTCAATCTGCATGTTATTAATGGTGAATAGCGTGTTGTTTCTTGCATTTATTCTCATGGATTTGGTTTTACCAATATTGATTTTCAAACCTATTTTATTGGCTTCAGTGGAGAGTGTTTCCAATTGGTCAGCCACATCTTGGAACCTTTGTCCTAACAGGCAGATATCGTCGGCGTATTCTAGATCGCTTAGGCGTGTGGTTAGCGTCCATTGTATCCCTCTTGTGTCAGAGTCTAGTTTGGAGAGAACATAGTCTAGAGCTATGTTAAAAAGAAACGGAGAAAGCACGCATCCCTGTCTGACTCCAGTAAGTACGTCAAATTCGTCACTGTTGATTCCATTGTGTGTCACGCTGCATTTCGCTTCAGTGTACAGTAACTTTATAATGGAAATTATTTTATGCGGGATGTTTCTTAGCTCTAAAATTTTCCATATCGCATCATGAGATAAGCTGTCAAAAGCACGCTCGAAATCAACAAAAACCATGTATAGGGGTGTGTTCCATTCAACCGATTGTTCCATTATTAGCCTCACAGTATTAAAGTGGTCTATGCAGGAGGATTCTGGTCTAAAGCCTACTTGATTAGCTCGAAATTCAACCTTGTTTGTTAATTTTTTAAGTATGATGGTCGTGAAGATTTTATTTATGGCGGTAAGCAAGGTTATTCCTCTCCAATTTTTGCATAGTGTGAGGTTGCCCTTTTTGGAAGCTTAATAATGATGCCTTTTTTCCAGCCCGCTGGAATGCGGTTTGTTTCCCACACCTCTCGGATTATGGGGAGCAAAAGTTCAGCAGTTAGATGCGGATCAGTTTTAAGTATTTCGGCAGCAATGTTATCGATTCCCGGAGACTTGTTATTTTTCAGAGATTTGATAGCTGTTATTATCTCTGTTTTGGAAGGGGCGTCGCAAGATATACGCAAGTCTATATTTTGTGGATTTTCGACAATTTCATCTGCGTTATCCCTGGCATGCCTAGTCTCCTGTCTAAGAGATCTTTAAGAGATTCTAAAGTAAAGAATGGAAAACTATCTGATATAGATACTGTTATAGATTGATTTGTGTCGGTGTTAGTCTTGGGTTTGTGGTATATGACACTTATATTCATTTTATATAATTGGATAATTTAAAAAACTTTTTAACGCAGTGGTTTTCAAAGTATAGGTTGCGACCCCCGATGTTTAATTTATTAATTTTTGTATTTTGAGAACGATTACCGAAATTAAAATTGAATTGAAACGTCAATAAACTTATTTTAACCTTCAATTGTGGCTTATTCCCAGGGGTCGCGAAATGATTTCCAAAACAAGAAACTTTTTTACATGGATGCTTATTTCATAGCAAATAAAAACCAGACTAAAAAGTCCATAATCACTGTTTTGTTACCTGGAATAAGTATTTCCACTTAATTTAAAGCAAACGTAAGGTAAAATTTTAACTAAGGTTGAATAAGAAATGTGGTTAATTACTTACTCGGTGTACATGAGTTATACCACTAAATACCTGGGTAAAAAACTAGGTGGTATAAAATTTAATATGTATTGGGGTGTATACAGCTAGTTCGCGTCCGTAGTAGAATACTACACGTGCACCCTGGGTAACGCTAAATGAACTAGCAAATACTGGCGGTCAGATAATCTCAGGATCTCCTGACTAGAGATACATTGCAAATAATGCCTTAAACGTTATCAGAAGGTAAATTAACAATAATACAAATGGTCCTTCTCAAGACCCAACGACTAGAAAACTCGGACCTATGATCCGAATTTGTTAATTAAATGTAGAAAGCATAGGCTATTCAAAGAGCCAGTACTTATTAAAATTTCTACAAGATAACTACATCGATCTGGTCGCGTTACAGAAAACACACTGCGAAACGGAAGAACAACTGCGAAAAAGGGGAAAATACCTGGCTTCGAACTACTGGGTGCCACGTACCATCGATCATACGGCACAACAAGGTACGTTAGAAAGCTGTAAAGGTAGTTACAAAACATAGAAAACGCCGTCCTTGTTTCGACGTGTACTAATGATGGTCAGCTCAAGTCATCTACACACATCCGCATCCGTCAATATACGTGGGAGACTACAACAGTCACCATTGAACACTGGAAATATAAACAATGCAACAGCAATGGAAATGCACTAGTAACATGGGCGAAGGACGAACATTTATCACTTAAGTTTGATGCTAAAGACCGACCTACATCCATGTCAGCAGGATGAAAAGAAGGCGTACAATCCTAATCTATATTTTGTCTCTGCTAATAAGAACAGGCAACCACTAGCAGTCTCTCGGAAAGTAATGGACGACTTCCCACACAGCCAACATCGCCTAGTGATCATAGGGGCAGGAACCTAAATTCCTATAATCACATCCATCCTTCGCCCACGATGGAATCTAAAGAAAGCTATGTAGGGTAGATTTTCTGCGGAACTGGACAAGAGTCAAGGCTGGATACCCCCTACCGTCAGAAATTACAAAAGATTCGTTGGAGCCGTAATAAGCACAGCCAAAAAGCATATACTAAGAGGATATCGAAAAGAATACATTCCTGGTTGGTCCCATAACAGCGAAGAACTGTACTAAAATTTCCTTGAAAGCGGCGATCAAGAATTAGCCGATAAACTGCTCCATAGCCTAGATGTAGCGAGACAACAAATATGGACGAAAACTGTAGAAAGTCTTAATTATCAAATATCAAGTAGGCAAGCATGGACACTACTAAGAACTTAGGAAGCGGAACTCCCATAACAAGAAACAACACAACAATTAACCTAAACACTGTTGTCTCACATCTGGTATCGACATCTAGGGCCTTTGTAGCAATTTTCAGTCCCCGACTTAATATAGAAAATAATTGTATTCTGGAAATTGTTTAACTGGTTGCATACCTAGTAAATAGTGTATTCGTAATCTTCAGAAAATGATAACGAAAAAGAAGACGACGTTGACTTGACAGAGGGAGGCGGAGGACGTATTTCCGGAAAGGAGGGAATTTGACGTCGGACGCTAGCTGGTGAAGTACAGAGGATGGTGGTGTGACAAAAAAAAATATAGAAATTTCGATTTTATCTTGGCCATCAGTGCCGATTTTTGAAAAATAAATAAGTAATGTGCCTTACCGAATTATTTAAGTTATTCGTTATAAAGTTTATTTGTGTGATTACAAATAGTTCACGTGTTGTAAGTTTTTGTGAATAAAATTGGAGATATTTCAATTATCCACAGTTAATTCACAACAAAAACATATACTGTTTTGCTGTTAATACATTTCGAGAGTCCATAGTGGTTCAATAACGAGAATAGCAGATGTATCAGGGTTGTTTCTTTTGCCAAGCGACTTCTGATTGGGTGTTGTCTTGCTGGATAGTAGTTCGTGGGGATTATTAACGCTCCGGAACCAAGGTAACAGCTTTATTTATTACCTTTATACACCAGGCAGAGATCAAGTAATTGAGGAACTTTTCTAACATAGTTATATGTGAGCTCTGTAGTTTTAAAATAATTATTGTCAATTTTCGTAGTTAAGTATTATTAGTAAATAAATATTAAATATCTGTTGAGCTCAGTATTCTTGTTTTAATATGACAGGCAATGCTCAATAAACAAATCTATGGTTAATTTGTTATTGTTGGATAAATATTGTGTTTCCTCATAGGTGTCATTAGACAAGCATTTACTACACTTGCCTTCGTATTAATATTTTATTTTCGTATAAGACATAAAACTTACGTACTGACGATATATTTCTTTCCGTTTTAACTTTTTTTTTGTTTTTTTTTACAATTTTAATAAAGAGTAGATGTACTAGGGGTATTCCAGACT